GGGGGAGGAGGTAGAGAAGGAGAGATGACGAGGATGGGGAGGAGAATGAGTAGGAGGCGGCCCCGACGATGGTGGAGGAGGAGGAGGAGGAGGGGGAGGAGGAGGAGGAGGAAGAGGAGGAGTGGGAGGGGGCCGAAGTGATTGGCGACCCGATCACTCCGCCAGTCCTCCCCGCTCTTTTTTCAATCAATCAATCAATCAATCAGTCAATCAATCAATCAATCAATCAACCCCACTCCCCCACACACCCCAAAGCCTGTTTCTATTTTTTTTCTGTTTTTGCTCGGAATGGCCCCAAATTTGTTTTGGGGGGGTCCCCTGGCAGTGTGCAGACCACCCGTTTTTTTTTTCTTTTTTTTTTTCCATGTGGCAACAAAGCCGTTGTCCGATTTTCCGGACAACTCCCCCTCGACCGTCTCCCGGAGATGTCCGGGGGAGACGTCTCCCAATCGGATAGTTCGTAACGTAGAAAAAAAGTTTATCACCACTGCACTAACTCTTGATATCGCGTCTGAATCTCCATTCAAAAGCTGTCAAATTCACCCTCGAAAAGGTCGAGAGTGAGGGGCTTGTTAGACACTCCTCGGGGTGTCCTCGGGGCCCGAGGAGTTTTCATTTAGGTCGCCCGAGGAATTTCCCGCCTTCGTTGCACTCGTCCTCGGGACGATCGTCTGAGGACGCTCCGAGGACGGGCCGCGGGGATGTTCAAAATAAAATATGCGACCTCGGGTCGGGGCTATGGGCGGTGGTCCACGATTTGATGTCCGGGTGGTCTGGAGTGGTTCGCCTCCAGGCGGCTGGAAAATTCAAAATTTGGCGGCAGGGTCGAAAAAAAAGGAACACACGCGTCCAGGTTTCTCTTTTCGAAATTTGAATTTCGAAAGAGGCCGGCGCGGCGCAGGCATATCAGTTGGGGGCTGCGGCGAGCGGTGGACGACGTCAACAGGGAAGCACATCCTTCGACTGCGCGGTGGCAGGGTCGGCACGTGGACAACCGTTCGGCCATCACCGTTAAGAGGGGAACAGTGAAGACGACGACATTAGTGAGGTCGTCCTCGCATCACTGCGCGCGGATAAGCAGATAGCGTCCTGCGAGCTGTCACGGCGTCCTTTGTCGCGCCAACCCCGTGGTCATCACGAGTAGCGTTTCGGTCGTGTGTTGCCGTGTCACGGAAGTCTGTTGCCCGAGGTGAAGGCGATGTCTTCTACACCCTGTGTGGCGATGGGGAATGTCGGCGATGACGACTCGGAGCGTGCGAAGCTGTCGACAGTGGAAAGGACAACGGTTGCCGCGGCCATTATCATTGTTCTTCTGCGCTGCCAGATGGAGAGCACTGCGGGAAGAATGAACGCGCAGCTTCCCGCACGGAGGAGGAAGGTGATGAGGTCGTTGGCGGCGGAAGGGTTGGACACCGCTGCCATCTGCGACACCGTCTTCCAGGTGTGCTGCACCATGGGTTGTGGCGTTCTGCCTAGAGCCATGCCCAGGTGTTGGATGAAAAGGAGGACGGGGGGGATGTGTAAGGATCTACGCCATGTCGATGACGCCACGGAAGACTACTTCCGCGAGAAGCTATGTATGTCGCTGCGTGTCTTCCGTGAGATTGAGGAGAGTTTGTCGCCTTTTCTACAGTGTTGTGTGACGTTATACGGGGAACAGTTGCAGCCAGACCACATCGTCGCATATGCATTGTACAGATGAGCGTCCGGGAAGATGTACGAGAGCAGCACGTGCAGCTTCGGCATTGGCAGAGCTTCGGGTTTGGTGGCGGTGAGGGACGTCACTGCGGCGTTGTTGATGGTGTACCGGGAGAAGTTGTCGTGGCCGACAGGGGTGCGGAAGGTAGTCGTTCTTTGTGATTTCGCTGACAAGGGGTTCCCCAACTGCCGCGGTTGTATCGACTGCACGCATATCTACATCGACAAGCCGACGAACGCACCTGGTGAAGACTTTTTCGACAAGAAACGACGTTTCTCAATCATCGCGCAGGTTGTCGTCGATCTCAGCTTATATGTGCTGGACGTTTTCGTTGGATATCCAGGAAGCTGTCACAACGTCAGGGTCATTCACCTCTCTAGTCTATGGGCGCGCATGGAGGTTGGGGAGATGTTCACGGGGCCGCCCGTTATGCTCCCCTTCCATGTGCAAACGAGTGACTATCTACTGGGCGACAATGGGTGCCCGCCGTCGGAATGGCTAGTCGTTCCCTATGGCGGCACCTCTCGGCACTCGTCAGAGTTGCGGTTCGACAACAGACAAAAGACTACCAAAGGGGCAGTGGAGAGGGCTTTCGGGAGGCTGAAGGGCATGTGGAGGTTGTTCCTGCGGTCGCATAAGACGAATATGGAGACGTTGCCGCAACTGTTTGTCGCCGTGTGCATTTTGCACAATATTTTCATCGATGTCAGCATCCCCTTCGACGACAATTTGCTTTGGGAGGTGGACGCAAACGGAGTTCGACGTCGCGTGGATCTGGGGATCCAACGCCCCCCAAGGCCGCCCGTGTGCATGGATACTTCGACGGGGGATGCGTTGATTCTAAGGGACGTGCTCGCGAAGCGGATGAGAGCTCGTTGATGAGGCCGCTGAAAGATGTAGACGTCAGGCCCGCAGCACACGTGGAGGACGCGAGTTGTGAGGGCGCGAGAGCGGCCATTGGAGAGGAATCCCGTTCCAAGCGTTTTGTGCGTTTTGGTCGTGTGTTGTCACATAAAGTCCCGGATGGAGTCTGTGCTTCTCCCTGTCGGTAGTTTTTCGTTTTTCGCTTATCGATAAAGACGTTAGTGGTGGTAAAGCAGCAGTCCGTGCAAATCGGTTGAGGGTGTTGATACGTGGCAATCGATCTTTGGGGCTCGTAGTCTGCTGCTGTTCTTAGAAGTCCGTCGATAGTGTTCCCTACACGCAGGCATGCGTTGGGGTTCCTTTCCCCATGGGTCCTTTTTTTAACTGGGCTTCAAGCCCGCTTCTTGTGTGTTCACAGTACCTTTCTAATGAAATTCGATACGTTGTTTCCGACACAGGATTGTTGTCTTCTGCTTATCTACAAGTGTGTGATCGATGCAACTGTTTTTGCCTTTCTTCCGACAGTGTGCATGCTATCATTTTGTAAACATTTAGTTATTCAATCATCACAAACATCCCTTCTGCCTTCGTCTGCAATGTTTCGCTCCACGCTAGGAACTCACACCATGACAAACAAAAAGCAAGACAAGGAAGGTATGCACGATGAACATCCTGTTGTGCGGGGGGCAATCAATGTGCGTGTGATTGGTGCGTTTGTGGTTCGTTTTCTTCTAACGTCGTGCATGCAACCATTTTGACGACAGGTTGTTAATCAATCAAGCACATCCCACTCCACCATTGAATGCAAATCTCTCACTCGATGCATGGAACGCAGGAGAGCATGAAAACAAACAACGACAACGAAGTCATGGGCGATGAAAAATCGTTTTTCCACACCAGTGAAACAAAAACTTAAGCTGCACACGCCCGTCTGCCTCCAATGCTCGCTCCCCACACACAATCACTGCAC